GATAAGGATTGGGGCTGTCAAGGTACAGGTAGGGTCCTAGGGGGCCAATTAGGATGGGGGGAGGGTCTCAGGAGGGGGCAGTCAGAGGACAAGAGGCAGGGAGGCTTAGGTAGGGGGTGGAGTCCTGGGGGGGCAGTTAGGGGCAGGGGTCCCAGGAGGGGGCAGTCAGGGGGACAAGGAGCAGGGGGAGGGTTGGGGGTTCTGAGGGGAGAAGTGGGAGGGGCAGGGGTGGGGCTAGGGCAGGACAGGGACGGGGCTCCTCCCATCCTCTCTTTTGCTTGCTGAAATATGGTAACCTAGGTGCCATTGACTGGCATGGCTTCCTGGCTTGGGGAATGTTCAAAGAAAACTGGGGCCTCCTGCCTAAAACCAGCTCTGTGGCACATGACAAAAGGTTATTGATGAAAATACTTCATGTCAGCCGTGCTGTAGCTGCTAATGATGAGGCCTGCAGGGCTGGATTAAGGCAATCTAGGGCCCTGGCAGTAGGGTTATCCCCTGGCTGGTATCTGACTGTTAGAAAAACATCCAATCTTGATTTAAAATCTCCAGAGCTGGAGAATCCACCCCAGCCCTTGGGCCTTTGTTCCAATGGTTAATTCCCTTTGCTGTTAGAAATTTGCACCTTATTTCCAGCCTGAATTTGTCTAGCTTCAATTTCCAGCCACTGGTTCTTGTTAGACCTTTGTCTGCTAGATGGAAAAGCCTCTTATCAGATTGCTGCTCCCCGTGTAGGTGCCTATATAGAGAGCCCCATATTTTTTGCAAATGTGAAATAATATGAAATAAAGCAAAAAACTCACCCTGCAGTGGCAGCTCCTGTCCTGTGAAGCTCAGCCTGACTCCCCACTCTGAACGGGGGGCCCCCCACCAAACCTGAGCAGCACTGAGTCAAGAGCCAGGCCCAGCCACACCTCACAGGACCCCAGGAGCCGCTTCTGCGGGGTGAGTGCAGGGCAGGCTCGGGGGTGCCAGACTCACCTCCCCCAGAGCCTCCCAACCCCTGGTGGCAGGACTCAGCCCCGCTCCAGGGACTTCAACCCCCAGGGCAAGACCCAATCCCCTACATGGATAACATTAACAAAACAAAAATAACAAGGAATTCCCCAAAATAAAATAAACAATTACTAAAAGAATTCAAGAGGCTCCACTTACAGACTGTGATCAAGTCACCCCTTAACCTTTGCTTTATAGATCGAGCTCCTGAAGTCTCACTGTAAGGCACATTTTCCAAGCCTTTAATCATTCGCCTGGGTCTTCTCTGACCCCTCTCCAACCTACCAACATCCTTCTGGGATTGTGGACACCGGAACTGAACACAGGATTCCAGTAGCAGTCGCACCAGTGCCAAATACAGAGATATCATAACTTCTCTCCTCCCGCTCGAGATTCCTGATTCCCCCAGGAACCAGCCTTGCTCGGCTTCATACCGACGTTGCTCTCACCTGTCTGACAGATCTCCAAAGATGATACCTCCCGCCAGGGTCCCAGCCATGTAGATGGACTGAGCCATCTGCTTCAGCTGGCAGGAGTCACACACCAGGTCCCACTGTAAGGGAGAGAGAAAATGAAGCTGGGCTTCTGGTTAAGGCCCCAAACTGGGACTCAGAAGATCTGGGTTTGATTCCTGGCTTAGGCTGATATTTTCAGAACCATTAATGGCATTTAGACAGCCACTTCCTACAGCAATCAGTTGGGCTCTGTACAGTGCCCAGTGCAATGAGGCCCTGATTGGAGCTGGGGTCCATGCAGTATCCGGCACAAGGGTTCCCCAGTCTGAGCTGGGCTCTGTGCAGTGCCAGAATGGGTCCTTTAGATGTTAATGTAGGATCAAATAAATAAGATTTAGTCACTATTGTAAAGCCCTTTGAGATCTAGGGGAGAGCAGGGCTAGCTCTTAGCATCATTCACAGTTCCTTTAATGTAGTGTGACAGAGTTCCTCCTCTATCTTGGTGGGTCCTGCACTTATTGGCAGATTTTCTTGCCTCAGAGATTCACCATGTGGGTTGGGGAACAGCCCAGAAACCTTCCCATCTAGAAGAGTGCACAGTCCAGGTCAATTGGGAGGTTTGGGGGGAACCCAGGCCCACCCTCTACTCCAGGTTCCAGCTCAGGGCCCTGGGGACTGCAGCTGTCTATAGTACCTCCTGTAACAGCTTCATGACAGCTACAACTCCCTGGGCTACTTCCCCATGGCCTCCTCCAAACACCTTACTTAGTCTCACCACAGGACCTTCCTCCTGGTGTCCGATAACACTTGTGTTCCTTAGTCCTCCAACAGCACACCCTCTCACACTCAGCTCCTTGCACCTCTTGCTCCCAGCTCCTTTTTAAAGCCCAGGAGCCCTGATTAGCCGGCCTTAATTGATTCTAGAAACTTCTTAATTGGCTCCAGGTGTCCTAATTAGCCTGCCTGCCTTAACTGGTTCTAGCAGGTTCCTGATTACTCTATTGCAGCCCCTGCTCTGGTCACTCAGAAAACAGAAAACTACTCATCCAGTGACCAGTATATTTGCCCTCTACCAGACTCCTGTACCCCACTGGTCTGGGTCTGTCACAGCGGATTAGTGGATTATGTCCAGTTTAATTGAGAGGAAACTGACTGCAAAATGGACGGGGGAATTCCCACCCCAACCAGTGCAACCACAGCTTCCTCCTGCTCATACACTGAAGGAAACAAGCCTCTGTGAAGTGTAAAGGCCGTGTCCTGCTTTCCTCTACACCTGTGCAATGGCAGCCGCTTGAAGCCGCATGGATTGAAGTCGCCTGGGGGGCCAGAATGTAACTGAGAACAGCACGTGGCCCTGGATGAAATTCTGCACTGACTTAGGCTGAAACCAAGCCGATGTCAATAGACATGCAGGGGCTGTTGCTTGGTGCAAATTTTAAGATCAGATCTAGGAAGAGGAGGATTGATAGATAGATACTCTGACCCTCTCTGCCCAGAGGACAGTGAAACTTACTTGCAAAAATCTATGGAAAGGCATGATTCTAACAAAAATATTTTCAACTCATCCACCCCATGGTTTCAGTATCCTTTTCCCAGCCGGTTACCTGCACTACAGCAGGTCTTGCTCTCACGTACCTCTGTAATGATGGTGCTGGTGAAAATGCTCTTGTCGTACACCCACCCATCAGCGCAGGGTTCAGTCTCCAGCTCGGTTAGGTTTGTGACTGTGGCGTTGGAGTCTAGGAGCTGCCACTGCGTGGTGACAAAGCGGTGACACTTCTCTGGCTGCTGGTTGCTGTCCATGGGGATGGAGACCCTGAGGAGGTCTTTGGCAGCGAGCTTTCCGGTGAGGTTGGTGTAAGGAGTGTTGTTGATGTTGATATGGACCTGGCAGTGGTGCTCAGAGGTGGCAGCAATGAAGTTCTGCAGGAGGTTATGGCTGGCCAGCATGAAAACTGGGATAGCCAGTAAGATCGCATAGATTATTTGGAAGCGACCCATCCCCCCAACGTGGTCTAAGAGTTCGGCAAAACTCATGGTGCCGGGTTGGAAGATTCAGCACTAAGTGTCTGGGTTAAGCAAAAACAATGGGGCCCAAATAACGGTCGTTACCTGAATAGGTCGATTACTTGTAAAAATTAAACGTTGTGCGATGAAAATATCTACACAGAAAGACGTTAATTTGAATCCAGCTTGTATTCCACTTCACAACTTCAAAGACAGTCATAAAGCGCAGCACTTCTTACAAAAAGTCAGCTTTTGGCAAATAGTGTCCATGGATTCTTGAGGGTGTAGTTTCCAAAGAAGAAGCGTTGAGTTATATTCTCCCTAAATAACCGAGTGTGCTACCCCGTTGCTTCTCCTTTGTTGCAAAAATTCCCATGCAACCATTCCTAGTTTCCTGTCAGCTGCGGGAAAACTCCACACATCTTTTCTATGAATGGTAGACGCATAAAGGAATGGTTTTACCAAGCTTAATTCCACGTTGATCCTTGCATTTCACCTGCTGGAAAAGCAGGTGGGGTTTATATATCGCTCCGAGGGTTATATAAGGCCTTAAGCAGGTCACTTTGGTTAAAATTTTACTTTGTTTTGCATGGATTAAGTCAAAAAAAGAGAGAGTCTGAAAGCAATGTGCTAGATACGGCGCTAAATGCTTCCAGTGCAGAGGTGACAAACACACTGATCCAATCTGCCAAACTAGATTGTCTTTGGGTGAGTATATTATTCACACCACAGGGCTAGAAATTAACTATAACTAAAAAGGATCCAGATTTAGCTGAGATACCACAAACCCGCCTCTGTCCTGAGTCGGGTGATCAAACAGCAAATGTGAAAAATCGGGATGGGGGTGGGGGGGGGGTCATAGCAGCCTGTAAAAAAAAAATACCAAAAAATTGGGACTGTCCCTATAAAATGGGGACATCTGGTCACCCTAGTGCTGAGTCGTCACTATTCTTAAAATACCACCTGGATATACCCAGCTGAGATTGGGGCCCCGTTGTGCCAGGGATTGTACAACCCCATAGTGTGAGCCATCCCTGTCCCAAAGCGTTTACAGTCTAAATAGACAACAAAGACCAAAGGGAGTGTTGTAATTAGCGTTGGTCTGAAAAAAATTTAGCAAAAGGTTTTTCAGGAAATGTTCTGAAGGAAAGTGTTTGTTTTTGACAAATGTCTTGACTGTAAAACATTTTAAGAAGAAAGATTTGAAGATGAAAAATTGGAGATGACAAATTTCAGTTTTTCAGTGTAAAATTACTTTTTGTTTAGAAATTTGAGCTAAGTATAGTAAAAAAATGTTTGGAAAATACAAAATGGTTGAAAGATAAACAAAATGTTTCAACTGACCAAACAAAAGTGGCGCATATGCTTGTGCTGGGCCCACTACACAGAGTGAATTTTGTTCTGTCCTGGTTCTCCCAGGAGCAGACACCAGGTGTCCGGTGCTATCAGAGGCACCTTTATAAGATTGGCTGGAGAGTAACTAGTCTGCCGGGATCATTCAGACCTGAAGCGCCTACTTACACAGTGAGACAGAATTGACCGAGATGCCAGAAATGGCCAGGCCGGTGAGGAAGCGGAAGACGCAGTATGTGGTGAAGGTGGGGGAGAAAGCAGCACAGATGCCTGTTACCGCCATTTGCAGGTAGCAGCAGATCAGGAGGGCTTTCCGGCCAAACCTGCAGCACAGAGAACAGAGTTAATGGGGGTGTGGGGAGATCAGGAAGTTGGCCCAGGGCAGGGAATTTGGAGGCTGATATGATTGCACTCTATTGCACCCATTACTCCTACTTTGGTGATCTCAGCTGCCTTTAAGCACTGTTTGCAATGGAGAGTGCTTGAACTAAAATTCAGGGTTAGGAATTAATTTGAATATCCCAGTACACTTCTGCCGATGCCCCTCAAGTGCGAACTGCAGCCCTCCTGCTGTTCCAGCCCTGGCCTCCCCTCCCCCAGCTCTGTGATGCCACTCAACCTTAACCCTGTTCCCTCTGCCAATTCGTATCAGTTGTGACCTGCAGCATTCCTAGCAGCCCCTCTCCAGGGCCACTACACAGTCCTGACCTGCAGGCAGTAGGTACATAACCATTGTGACATGTTTTTGGAACTGGGATTGGTGTGGCTCCAGCTCACACTAGCAACATGAAAGTGTGTGGAGCTCGGAGTCGCAACCTCACCATCTCACCTGTCTGTGAGGCGTCCAAACACAGCTGACCCCACCAGCACACCAGCCATGTAGAGCGACTGCACCATTTGCTGGAGTGTCCTGGACTCACACACCAAATCCCACTGCATGGGGGGAAGAAAACAGAGACCAGTGAGAGCAGGAAGATTTCAGGGCCCACATTGCCTGGAGGTTGGACATGCTGTAGCCTGGTCTGTAGAGAGGATGCTTTGATCCCTAGGTCTTGATATTTTGCTCCAGACAGACACAGAGATGGGAAGAGATGGCTTTAACCCACACTTGTGCTTCCCCTTTCTGGACCCTACTTAACCCTGGGGTATGTGTAGAGTGGCCTCGGAGCTGCTCCAACTTTCACTCTTCCTCCTGATGCCGCAGGGAAGCAGAGCTCAGTGCAATCAGGCCACACCCCCCATGCTGCGGAGCTGGGAGTGGAGCATTTTTACTGGCCTTCCCACAGGGCTGGGTTATCAAGGGGCTATTCACACCCCCCACACTGAAAATCTGAGCCCCCAAAATCAGGCTCTGAAGTGGACACACAGAGAAAAATTGGTGTACAGAGAACCCATAGGGTCAAGTGTATTTATGGGGGGATGGGGAGAGCTATACTGGTCAGTCAGCAAACCTGTTACCGTACGAACAGTGGGTGTGGTCCCCTTTCCCTGTACTTTGTAGAGTTGCCACCCATCCAGCTTTTCCCAGGATCATCCCTTTTTTGAGGTAGCTGCCCTGGGAAATCTGTCAGGGTACTCAGTGCACAATGACGGTTTTATGGGCTCAGGATCATCTTAGATGTCCCATTTTTTTGTACCTCAGAGGTGTGACGGGTTGAATCACAGAACCCCCCTTGGGAGCTGCCAACTGATGTGCCAAGACTACTTCTGCCCCTGCTTTCCCTGCCAGCTCGGGACCCCAGCACCCTGTCTTGCTGAGCCAGACACGCCCATCTGCTCCAACACAGACCCAGAGTCTGAATTACTTGCCCCACAGCTCCAGGCTTAACTGAAAGCAGCTCACAGAAGTGTTCTCGTCTTTAACACTCAGATCCCCAACTCCCAATGGGGTCTAAACCCAAATAAATCCATTTTACCCTGTATAAAGCTTATGCAGGGTAAACTCATAAATTGTTCGCCCTCTATAACACTGATAGAGAGAAGCACAGCTCTTGCCCCCCCCCGTATTAATACATACTCTGAGTTAATTAATAAGGGTACGTCTATGCCCAGCCGCTAGTTCGGCGGCTGGCAATCGAACTTCTGGGTTCGACTTATCGCGTCCAGACAAGACGCGATAAGT